CTCTCTCTCTCTCTCTCTCTCTCTCTCTCTCTCTCTCTCTCTCTCTCTCTCTCTCTCTCTCTCTCTCTCTCTCTCTCTCTCTCTCTGTGGAAACAGTGCTAGGAGCTTCTGAGTTAAAAGCACGAAGTAGTTGGCCAAGTTTCTCTCCTTTCATGAATTCCCACCACCTTATAGGACCAACTGGAAGGAGCGTTAAGTGCTACTTGCACATGCCCAGCCTAGATCCTGGGAAGGATGGACGTGATGACATGATTTTGAGAAGACTACATGGATAAGCAGAAGGGGGACCCAAAAAAAAAAAAAAAACAGTTCTGGAACTCAAAGGGAAATGAAAGAGACCGAAGGGTCAAAGGGGAAAAGAGGAGAAGGCTGAGGGCATACTTTCACACTAGGATTTTCCTGCTGCAGTGAATTTACCTATACCGGTCTAAAACCTTTAAAAAAAATAATAATAAAAAACTACCTAACAGCAATCATACTTCTTGTGCAAAGCCTCTATCCTGGTAGTGGTAAGAGAACCACCGAGATTAAGACTTTGCCTACCGGGCTGCTCCATCTATTGGTGGGGAGCCTCACCTGCTGGAAACCAGGTCCAGCGTCCCTTAACACGGAATCCAGAGTCCAAATACTGATGCACAGTGTGAAGACGTCTCCCTGCCAGCATTGATTACTGTGGACCTCGGGGGATTGACTGAGCAGGGACGGACGTGACCAGGAGGGGGGCCAACTCCTTGGGCCCGGGGGGCACCGGGGCCCATGGCATTAGGGCCACCCCTCCCCCCCCCTCTCCCTATCTGATAATGGTTAATAAGACGAACTGAGTGGGCTCTGCTGATGCTCGAGCCCTCTGTTGGGACCTTTGGAAGCACTGATTCCGAATCCAACTGCACCCTTGGTGAAACTCCAACCTTCCCCATGTTGGTCTCTGGCCTTGCAGTTGCCTCCTTGTTCAGCCTGGTGGCAGATCCGACAGATACGAAAAAACGAAAAAAAACAGCTGACTGTACGTCCCCACCCCCCGCTTCGGCCGAGCACCCAGCTAGACCCCTCCTTGCAGAATTTCCACCACTGACAGCGGGTGGGGAGGGAAGGGGTCCCCGAAGACCTGCGCCAGTCTGAGTGGGAGCCACTGATCAAAGGCCGTCCACTCTCGAAACTGCAGCCTGTAGTTCCACTTCATATCCATCTAAGGATCCTCTTCCTCTGCCATGTGTTGTTCCACTGCTCGGAAGCTCGTCTTCCGACCATGTCACCTGGGCTATCCAGCCCCCACTCTTCCCGCCTAGCCATTCCTCACAGAACCGGGAAATGATCCGGTCTGCATCCCTCCTAAAGTGCACACTGTCCAATTTCTCCGTCGCAGCGGCACAGCCTGCCAGCGGATGGTAATCTCGGGCTGCACCAGTTGTTTGAGCTGTTCCGTGACCTCCCCCTCCTCCACCCTGGCTTCCACCATTTCCAGCACACACCTCCTCCACCAAATTACCCAAAGTAAGGATCTTCTTCCAAGACGGAAGCGGTCCCAAGCGCATTCGCCTTTCGTGAAGTTTGGGCAGTGCCCCAGCAAGATCGCACTCCAGTCCCATGGCCACGGTAAATCTGGGAACATCTGCTGCCAGATCCTATCCCACCACTGCCACAGCAGTACTGACAACGGGCACTGCATGAAGATGTGCTCCACCGTCTCCGATCTCTTCTGTGGGGGGAAACTGGACATAAACCTTCGGCACCATGGCAGAGCACGACCCTGCTGCTCCAACCGGGTATGGTCAATCAGACAATCATTGGTGGGTAGGCGGCAGTGTGCTATTTGCCATTAATGCAATCAGACTTGTCTTCTTCGATACTCAGCATGCATGCAAACAGATGATGATCAAGCTGGCAGAGATAACGAAGCCAAGAACACAGTTCAGATTCAAACTTGTCTCGATCGGCTATGGCCGATCACTGTACTCCCAGCAACTTGTTCGCACACACACCCTGGATCTCCCTGGATGCCTTGCACACATACACACACTACACGCACACACACACGCACACACACACACACACACACACACACACACACACACACACACTAACTACGCTAACTGGCAGCTATGGCTGCCGTCTACTTCCTCCCACTAACACAAGCGGCTATGGCCGATTCTTCCTCCTCTTAGCCCACTTTCTCTTCGGGCACCTGCAGACCTCCGTACACAAGAAGCACAGGCAGCGCTTCCACACGGCTCACAGACAGAATGAATGAATGACTTGACGCTGCCTCTTTATTTATACTTAGATTGTCGTTGGTCTGCACTCGGACTCCGGGCCCGGGGTATGAGCAGTCCCACATGGTACGTGATGACTTCACAAAGTGTGACTTGGGACTGGGTACGGCTGTCGGCGCGAATACCCTTACAAGGGTATCCGCCCTGGTTTTTGCAAGAAACAGAAAATAAGTTTAGTTTAAAGTTTGAGTATACCGCGCGAGTAGCGGCAGTGTCTGTTGTCTACGCTGACTGAATGCCCGACTAGAGCAGAGTGTGAGTGGGCGCGCAGACCTAAGGTGAGTGTGATCTCTTCGTTGTTGATGATTGAAAAGCCTGCGTAGTTGCCGGGCAAATTTTTATTTCTGATTAAACTAGGATTCTCCTGATTGGTGCGCATGTCCGTGATTTGTGCGTACGTACGGAGGACGACATCGAGAACAATGTGATCTTGGAAATGTCTCGGTAGGTCTGTGAGTCACGCAGTATCCATTTATTTAGGCGTCCGGTAGCGCTAAGGTCAGACTTGGGCCGAGCACTATTGGTTATGATGGCAGACTTTCAACAGGGAGATTCAGGGATCGAAGCCATCGAGCGGCGGCGCGGGAGCATTGGAGCAGCGTGAAGGAGCTGTGAGGTTGAGGGCCCAGTGAGGCTATCCCACACGGTTTTATTGACGCAGGACTGGGTTATTTTTATTTTTATTTTTCATGTGTTATTTCACCTCCTTGTGATGACCCGTCCAAACATGGACTGAAACACACAGCTGATTTCTCAGTTTTGCTCATAGACTGAATGCCTTGCAGAGTTTCCCGCCTGCTACCAAGTCTGTGTGTGCACGCTTGCTGCACTGCATGTCTGTCTGAGTGCTGGTTGGCTTGAGTGTGTGTGTGACCATGCCTGTCTGAGTGTTGGTTGGCTTGCGTGTGTGTGTGACCGTGCCTGTCTGAGTGCTGGTTGCCATGCGTATGCGTGTGGCCCGTCAGGGCACTTGCTCGTTCGTCGGGCACTTGCTCGTTCATTAGAACAAAGTCAGAAATGATTAAACCTTGGATATTAAACAGTTCACGGCGACTAGACATTGTTTCTAAGTTCAATGGTCTAGTCATATGCCCAAGGAAAATAAAAGTAGTTATGCAACCTGTTTGTGTATATCCTAAGGCATGCTAGGCATTGTTTCTAAGTTGAATGGTAAAGCACCATGCCATATGTAAGTTGGGTATAAGGGATAAATCATCTGAGGGTTTCACAAACTAATCTATAAGGATTTGACTTGGGGAATTGTGAGAGTACTTACCAATGTGGCCTGACCTTGCATGTGACTAAGTGAGATCACTACTTAGTCCGAGTTCCAGTTTGGTAGGTAGTTGCTTTAGTTGCTCGCCTCGTGCTAGAGAAATAGGAGTTAGCTCAATCCCTGCATTTTCTGAGCTAAGTTTTTTTACTTAGGTCAATTCTCGCATTTTCTGGATTTTTTTTGTTATACTTGGATTTGTATAACTCTTGGTAAGTTATTTTCTCTACGGGAAGCATTGCCAAAATTTCTACAGAGCCAAGGAGTTAGTCAAATTTTGACTTTTCAAAGTTCAACTTGTCTAACTTTTTAAATGGTTCAGTAAAAATCTAGAAAGTCTCCCTTTCTAAGGGGAGTGCTGCCAAAATTATTGCTAAGTCACAAAGTTAAACAAAAATTGGACCTTTTGAAGTCAGAGTTATTTTTATATTCTGAACTTAGCTTTGTATAAATTTTGGAAAGCTACTTTCACTACGGGAAGCACAGCCGAACTTTTTACAAATCTAAGGAGTTGGTTAAATTTTGTCTTGGTTGAACTCAACTCTTACTTTCAGTTCTTATCTAACTTAGTATAAATCTGGGAGTCTACTTTTCTAAACGAGATGATGCTCAAATTTTTACTAATTCAGGGAGTTAGACAAAAAATTGCCATTCTAAAGTCGAGAATTAGTTCAATTATTCGTACTTTAGCTAATATACATTCTGAAAAGGCATTTTTCCTACGGGAAGTGCTGCCGAAATTTTCTTAGTTTACAGGAGATAGATTATGTTTTGACAGGTGGCAATTCTGGCGTCCCACCCTGAATAGCGGAGACTCTGCCAAAGGTCTACTTTTTCCTTGGACACTAGCTTAGGGGTAGACTTAGACTTAGTTGGCAGACAACTTTGAGTAAGAATGTCTTATGGAGATTCATTTCCCATATACTTATGATTTAGCTTGGGCATTGACATGTCTTATGATACAGGTCCCTTTTGACCGTTCTGACTCAAGATTTGGACTAGTTCAGCTTGATCCAACAAGGATCATCTTCTATTATCATTGATAACACGTCGATTGCCGTTTCGTCGGTTTACGACTCAACTCCAATCCATTTTCGTTACCTAACCTAAAAGGCTTTAGCCCTGCTGGTTTCTATTGTTTTATTCAGGTTTTCACCCAAATTTTTATTGAATGGTCATTTAACAAAGGTACTGAGTATTTATTTTGGACGGTTGGACAAAGGTTGGGGTTTGCATGGCCAAAGCAAGAGGTACGAGTATAGAGAATGGTTGAAGTTGACCTCGTGTAGTATGTGGACTTTTGGTTGATTCTTTGATGTGATTGCAGGTATGTTTTGTGGTTCAATCTTTGGAATTGACTGCCTGCGATCACATACATATATATGGCTGAGAGGAGTTCCACTTTGATTGTGAGACGTTATCGTCACATATTTATTCCACTATATATATCGTCACATATTTATTCCACTATATATATATGTACGTTCATACCTAAGTTTGAGTGTTTGCGTGGCCTAAAGAGTCCACGCTTCAAGGTCTAATTGGGGTTGAGATTGAGAGAGGAAACGAGATTCCCTTCCATCACCGTTTTTGCTTCTTAAAGTTTCTTAGTCGGACGTTGGTCTTGGGCTTGGATTCGAGGTTCTTGTCCAAGACATCCCAGGTCCTAAACTCCATGCGAAAGGGATCACCCCCCACGCAGAGCCTATTTGCCCTGCCCACCGGGACACTCAGCCTAAGGGCCGAAGGTGCCGCGGGGAACGAATGGCTGTTCCTTCAGTCGTGCAATATCGTGAAGGGATTCACCCTCACGATACTTCGAGATTGACACTTGAGTGTCATAAGCGGTACTCGGATCCACGAGAGACCGCTTGATTATGGGCACTACATAGTACGCCATCATTGCGACTGCGTGCGTATTCATGCATTGCTAGTCGATATGAAAAGGCCCTGTGTCCATGCTGATTTATACAAAGTCTCGCGCGTGTCGCCTATCTGATTTTCGCGTCGAAAGGTTATAGGATTGTCACTAAAGGGACTAGGATTGTATTGTGTTGTTTTGTTTTGCGTCCTTCTGTGTGTGTGCTTATTTTTATGTTTTAAGTGTGGTGTAACGCGTGGTATGTGGGATGCGTCCTGGTCGACAGACGACGAGTCGCGCTTGGGACTTCAGCCCCCCAGTGCGTCAGTTCGCGTGCGGGCCCGATAAGAGGCGTAAGACCACGCGTACCCCCTATGCTACAGCGAACGAGAAACGCCCTCGGCTGGTCCACCTCTGCGATTGCAACTGATTAGCTTTTGTACCGTCGGTTGGTAGCTCGGAGGGGATATGCCCACAAAAGGGAGGTGACAACTCCCGCAGGTGGAGGTAAGTTGTACCTCGCGTTGGCCCTATCCTGACGTAGGGGCTCGCGAGAGGTATGGCTGGCGCACTCGGTCGAAGCGGCTTCAGAAGCTCCTTGTGAATCACGAGTAGACCAACTCCTGCGTGACGTGGTCGGGAGGGTCCCGCCCTGCATGGCGAGGGACCGATGCGCTCGACAGGTGGCGTCTTTGTCGACGATGACGGTTGCCTACCATTGTCCCTGGTGGAACGGCATCCCGGTGTGAGAAAGTGAGAAAATAGGCATGGAAGGGAAGTTTTTAATGCATATATAAGGCAGATTATGTGGAGTCTTTATTTGAGTCGATATTATTTTTGTATTTTAATCTAATTGGTTGTTTAACTTGAAGAAAAAAATAGGGTAAAAAGTCGAATCCGCATGAGATGTGAGGGAAGCCTCTAGTCCAGAAAAGGCTAGGGGGTAGTCTCAATTAAGATGGGATCATAAGATGACTATGTAGGGAATTGACAGGAGATATGATAGGGTTAGTTGTTGAATGCAGTCTCTATCTTTTCTTAGCAGGGAAGTTAAGCAAGAAAATCGGCCAAAATGTCGGGAGGCGTAGCTGACCGTACGAGGAAGGTCCTGACAATCGATGATCTAGTTGAAGCCTTGGACAGGCGAGAGAGGGCGCAAGAAATGTTCTAAACTTAATGCCTTTCACTTCAATGGAGAACGAGTT